CACCACAGCTGCGGCCAGTGCTGCCATTCAGGCACAAGCACCCAAGCTGCTCCCCATGGGCCACCAGCACAGACACAACCTGGCTGGAGGGGAGAGGTGTCCCATGGCCAAGAGCATCCCAGCCCTAGGCAGCACAGCTCTCCAGGACCACCGAGACACACATGGCCTCACGCAGGAGGCCACCACCGCAGCTGAGGGAGCCCTAAATGTTTTAGCAGGCAGAACACAGGCAGATCAGAGAACCAGCAGACCACACGCTCCACATACACCGCTGTGCCGCGTCAGAGCTCCGGGCTGTGGAAGCCAGGACGAGCCTTGCCCTGCCCCACAGCCACCCGCACACACTCACCTCCCAGTTCACACCATTTACTACTTCGTTCAGCTTGGCCAGCGGCCAGTTTCAGCGCAGGAAATAAGCACAAAATGCCTGAGAGAGGAAAAGCAGGAGGGGACGTGAGCCACAGCGCAGGACAATTCTCAGTGTAAACCTGCCCCGCTGTTCTGTGCTCCAGCAGAAGGAACAGCTGGTTTTGGAGCCACAGGCTGGTGGGAAAGGGCTGTGAGTGAGGGGTGAGCAGAGCAGCGGGTCCCTGATCACCCCCTTGGGCTCAGAACCGCCAGCTCTGGGGCTGGGCTCCCTCTGTACGCTGAGGCAGCAGGTGGGTTTCGTTCCTGGTTGGCTATGGAGAGCTCCAGCCACCACTGGACAAGTAGCAAACAAACACCACAGTCCCTGCAGGTTGGAATCGGGTTGGGATGGAGCAGGTGTCCTGCCTTTGCTCTGTAAAATAAACAAGAGCCCTTTAATGTTGTGAAATTTACAAGCACGAGGATCTGGGTCAGTGCACGGTGCTGAAATACGGGGAGGAGAGCGGTGGAAGGGGAAGGGAATCCCTGCAACCACCAGCTGGGAAATGCAGAAACCCTTGAGGCTCGTTATTGATCCGTACCTGCTGCTGTCCCTCCGCCGGTGGCCCGGTGAGCAGTGCCACCCAGAGGGCTCCTCCAGAAACAGCTCCCCTCACCCCACATCTCCCCGGACTCATCACCAGTTTTTGGTTTCCCTTCTGCTCAAATAAATCTCCTCTTTCTTTGCCAGCTCTGTTTCAGCTCTTCCAACCCACCCTCCTCCCTCCATCCATCCTGAGGACAACCGAGTCTCACCCCACAGCAGCTCCAGGTTAGGGGAAAAAGCTCTGATGACAACTCAGGGTATTTATTCACAACGCTGGAACATAAAAATAACATCTTTAATAGCTTTATAGTTGGCACAGATGGTATTAAAATCCACCACTTTTTATTAATAGACTATGAAACAACACAGGGCGCAGTGCCGAGGAGGGCAGCTCGGGCTGCATGTTGCTTCTGAGCCACGGAGCTGCGACAGGTCGGTGTTAAGAGTCGACTCTTTTCACTTACATTCAGCATTAATAGTCAGAGAGTAAAACCAGCAGTGAGATTGAACCACGTGCACACAGAGAAAAGCCTGGGAAGGATGTTTCTGCTGGCAACCTACGTGTCCTCCCTCCGAGCAGCACACAAAAGCCCCCAAAATGGAGTTGTACAGGTTACAAGAGAGACTTGCTGTTGGTCAAATAATAACACAGGAGCTTCTGCTCACATCTGAAAAACAGTGACTGCAGTAAAGAGCCCCATTTCCCTCTTCCAGGAGAGGTGAAGGCCAGATCAGTGCTCAAGATATTAACACATCGCCTAAGAGCTCTGTCAGTGGTGACAGGAATTTTTTTTCAGGAACCTAGAACACAGGGGAACAGAAACACTTGGCTTTCTGAAGGACTTTTCCTGAAGGGCCTCTAGCAAACCTCACTGCTGCCCTGCGAGACCAGCATTACGATCCTCATGCAGATGTAGACAGGACAGTGGAGGCACCAAACAGTGAAGTGACTTGGAAAGCAAGAGCAAGCTGATGGCAGACCAAGGAACTTGCAGAAAAGTCCCATCCTGACCTAAAAAAGAACTTACAGCTTCAAGAACTACTACACAGGATGAAAATAACTCCCAACAACGCTTCACAAGAGGGGAAGGGGATGGTTGAAAACATCCCAGAAGATGTGAACAAACAGGGAATCAACGGGAAAAGTTAGCAGAGTCAGCCTGAAAAGAACAAATATCAACTTCAGCGGAAAAGACACTCCCAGCACTTGTGATCTGGATCCAGAACGTGACGTCAGGAGCTCATGCTGGCAGCTGTGCTCCTGATCCATCCTCGTGTGCTCCCTCCTCATCCTCTGGTTGAACAGATGCTCTCTCCGGTGTCACAGCGCGTCTCTATCGCAGTTTCTACGTCAGCATCCCTCACTAGCGACCCCGCCCAAAGCTTCTACTTGGGGAAAACATTTAAAGGTCTCTGGTAAAATTATAACTTGTTTAATGAAGAATTTAAGTCTTCAGTGAGAACATAACCACTGACGCTGCTGCAGATACATCTCACTCATTAGCAACTCCATCCCAACAAATAACAGGTAGTTTGTTCAACCTAGTTATCCAGAAGTCACTGTTGCAGTGACTCTGAAGGAGCCACGATACCACAGTCACTTTCAAACACACATTTTCTTATCATTTGTTGGTTATAAAGATTTCCAGCTTCTATGGGTACTCTACAATCACAATAAGTGATGAGGCGTTTCTGACCTCTGTTCTGTAACGAGGAATTCCCTCTCAGGTGCTGACACGGAGGGAGGTAAGAATGCATAGTGAGGTGTCCCAACATCTGTCCTCTGGGGAGGCCACTTTTTTTCCCCTCCATCTAATGGCCGTGCACTGTCAAGGTCTCAGTTTTATCTTTAGTTTCAGCAGGGGCTTTGCCACCGACCGCTTTGTTGGAGTAATCTCGCTCTCCAAAAATAGTGCTTCCAATCCTGACGTTTGTGGATCCCACCTCTATCTACGAGGAGAGAGAAAGGAGGAGTTGAGAGCGGGGCTGCCACCCGCCCCTGCCAGCACAGTCTGTATCCAGCCTCAACACTCGCCACGGCACAGCAGGACGGTGTGTTTGGTTCCCCAGGGAAGGGGTGGCAGAAGGAAACCAGACTTACTGCGTGCTGGAAGTCTGTGGACATGCCCATGCTCAGCTCCACCTTCTCAATGGGGAGATTCAGCTTTTCACACACTTCCTGCCGCAAAGATATCAGCATCTAGAAGGGAGGAGGAGAGAAGGGAGCATCACACGCACCTGACAGTCGCGCCAGCTCAGTTTCAGGGTTTCACAGCTCATGATTTCTGCCTTCCTTTGAAGTCTCCTTCAGTGAAATCCCCACAGTTCCCACTAATGCTTGCTCTGCAGTGTAACAGCACCTGGAGATTTCCTGTTACTGACAACACAGGTGCTCACACATCTACAGGTCTTCTGAAGACACCCAGTTATCACCCCAGCCTGACAGGCAAGGAATGCAGACCCAGTTCCCCTGCCTGACGCAGCCCTGTGCACACAGCAAAGCAAGGCTGACTGAAAGCAGGGCCAGAGGATCCAGGACAGTAACTGCTGCACAAGCTGCTCCTGCCAACGGCCTGGCTACAACTTCAGAGAAACAAATCCACCTGCAGAAGTGAGCCCAGCACCTGCATCAACACTGACACTCAGAGCTCTGTACCGCTCCAAACAAGGTGCTTCCATCGACAAACTCCAGCCAGATGAACAGCCTGACTGTGCCCTGGGCTGGCTGGGACAGACAACAGACTGTGAAGGGAGCTCAGCCAACAGGTGACATCATCATCCTCGAGACAATCTCACCTGGAAGTCAGGATTGGGACCCTTACTAAGGTCATGCCCGATGCTGCCGATCGTCATCAGCCCCACAAATTCCAGGCTTGGACACTTGTTGATGACGTGCTCCACAGCAGCCGTGGTGTCCCCAGGAGGAAGGCCATGCTTACCTGGCATAAAAAGTAGGGAGATTTGTGCCAAGCTCTGCCAGAAATCTCCCCTCCCTGCAGCCAGGCACAAGCTAACAGGCGAGCAAGTTTCATCTGAGCTTAGAGAAACACTTTAAGAGCACAAACCAGCCCACCCCATTCAGGTTGTTTCTATCACGTCAGCAGGACAAACCTGCTTATCATCAGAAAAAGCCACTTACTGTCTTCTCCACTCGTGTTGACTTGCACCATGACCTTCAGCTTCTGAGAGGACCCTTTTTTCTGCCAGGAGCTGTTGACTCTGTCTGCCAGTTTCACAGAATCCACCGTTTCCAACATGAACAGGTTAGGGACAGCTGGGGAGAAAACACAGGCTGAGGGGAATTCTGCTGGTTCTTATTATTTCAACACTTTAAGACTATTGCCCACGAGGTCATAGCACATAAAATTAAATAGAGTTTACCAATCAACTTGTTGACATTATTTTTCTGCAGATGGCCAATAAAATGCCACTTAATCTCCGGACAAGAGGACAGAATCTGAAAGCAGAGAGGAACAATCAGGTTTGAATAACCATTCACCTTTTCCCACACAGTGCTTAAGTCTTAGTTTGCCCACAAACAAAATACCAGACACTCAATCTTCTTCTTTTGTTTACCCTTAAAGACACAGCTCAGGCAAGTGCTCGTGGTGTGCACTGAGATTGCTCCACAGCCTGGAGAGGAACAGGGCTGTGGCTGCCCAGCATTACAAGGTGAGTGGGGAAGGCAAAGCTCTTTTGAACTGAACAATCATAACATGATGTGTTTTCCCCAAATTGAGTGTGACTGTTTTTTTTTTTAAAGGAGGGCTGCTATCTCCTACAGCTGAAGGCACAAAGGTTAAGCACTGTCCAGACAAATACTTTATGACTAAAGTGCAGGTATTCACAGAATCCTCTGAAGCCAGCAAGGGGGAAGAGCTGAGAATAACCCTGGCATTTACCTGAGAAATGACTGAACAGCCTCCATCACCAATTCTCTAACAAAAACCAAGCCCATTGCTGAACAGCTCTCAGGACACAGTTATACAAGGAGAGAGAACACATGAGGAACTGTGCACTTACTCTGGAGTCCGATGCCTTTTCTAGCAACTCCTGAACCTGGGAGAAGCCAAGAAAACCTCTGGTTAAAACCCCAGCAGAGGTGTCCACACACCAGAACGGTCCCTCTGGGATGGGTGCTTCAGTGTGTGCCCGTGAACACCGGGCTCTGAGCAAACCCAGCT